GTTGTTTAAATTGTTCTTCTATGCTTAATGGGTTCCTAATGCTTAATTTTAGGTTAGACAACAAATGATCAAATTAGGGAATTAGGAACACAAGGTTATGACCACACACCATGGCTTAATCATACTTTAGCTAGAACCAATCCATTAATCTAATTGAACTTGGGAACTTATTTGCTTGAGTTAGTTATTTCTTTCTTCCTTGTTTTATTTATTTCCTTTCTTTTTCATTTCTGTTTTGTGTAGGGAAACTAAATTGGATCATTCAATCACCAATCCCTGTGGAATCGACCTCGCACTTACATACGCTAAACTACCAACGGTTCGTGCACTTGCGAGTATCACAAGTTGAGGATGCAGCTGAATCCATTTTGGTGCAGCTGTATCGACACAACACTAGGCCATTTTGTTGAGGAGTGTGGGGACATGAGAAACGTTGGTGGATGCCTAGTTGACTGCAAAGATAAGAGAAAGCATTATTGACATATTCAGTGCCATTGTCACTTTGAAGGATTTGCACAGTTGTGTGAAATTGATTTTCAACCATGGCAAGAAAGGTTTGAAATTGAGAAAAGATCTCATTTTTACGGTGCATAGGATAAATCCAAGAGTAGCGGGAAACGTCATCTGTAAACAAGACATAATAACGATAACCAGTGACAGAAGTGACCGGGGACATCCATACATCATAGTGAATAAAATAAAAGGGAGAAGGGGCAAAAGTTGGATTACTAATAAAGGATAGTTTGGTGTATTTTCTATGTGCACAATCCTTACAGAAAGCATGAGAAACTTTAAGCCTAGAGATGGCGCTAAGTGAGAGAACACATGATGGGATGGATGGCCAAGGCAACGATGCCAAGCATGAGATTGCACGGTGGTAAGGGCACATGGGATGGTGGATGAGTGAAAGGAAAGGGATAGTGGGTAAAGACCATCTTTAGAAAGGCCTTGAAAAAGTAACAAACCAGTACGTAAGTCATAGATTTGATAAAAGTTAGGAGTAAAGACAAAGAAAACTAAATTATCACGAGTAAAACGGCAACAGAGAGTAGATTAGTACGGAGATAGGGAAGACAAAAGACATTTTTAAGAGAAAATTTTTGAGAACCTAAAGGAAGAGGAAGATAGCCAGTATGAGAGATAGAGAGAGAATCTCCATTACCAAGAAATACAGAATTATTACCCTGATATGGCTGTTGATTTTGAAGATTAGAAGGACTACCATTCATGTGATGAGTGGCACTTGTGTCAGGGGACCAAGTGAAGTCAGGTGGCTGCTTGAATTGAGCCCCAGCAAAGGAAAGAAAGGATTATGGGCCATTGTAGGGTCCCAAGACACCAGGAGTTGAGTTGGGCCGGGCAGAGTGTTTGCTAGAAGCGGCAGATTGGGCCCAAATGGGCTGAAAGGAAGGCCAGTTGCTTTGGGGGTCTAGAACTTGGAGCAAGAGGAGGCCACGGTTGATTAGGCTATTGGGGCTGCTGGGAGCCATTCCACATGTTGCTCTAGGAAGGTGAGAAGTTGGGCCAGCCGCCACAGCCGCGACCACGCCAGCCACCACGGTCACCAAGCCTGTTGCTGGAGGAGAAGAATGGGTGGCCATTATCGCTGTGTTTTGATTAGGAGAGATTCGAGGAGCTTGTGCGTCGAAAGCTAACAAATAAGCACGAAGATCAGCAAAGCCAGGAAGCAGAGGAAAATTGAGAATTGCCGTGACAAGCATTTTGTAATCAGGTCCTAAGCCCTATAGCACAACAGTGACAAGTTCTTTTGGGGAGACAGGTTCATTGATGGGAGCCAGTGAATCGGCAAGGGCCTTATCATGACGAAGGTAAGCATCAATAGGTTGAGAGCATTTCTGCATATCCATGAGTTGAAAACGGAGAGCAGATTCACTGGCCATATTGGATTGAGAGAAGTGGCATTGGAGACACTCCCAGAGATCCTGGGCAAAGGTGCAGCCGACAGTGAGGGAGAGAATGGACTCAGAGAGTGTACATGTGATGTAGCTAACAATGAGTTGGTCTTGTTAGTACCACTGAGCATGGGCGGGATTGGTTTGGGTAAGAGTGGCGGTGGTGGTTGTGGGTGTTGCGGTGGTAGAAGTGAGGGTTTGGGCAGAAGGTTGTTACAAAAGAAATAAAGTAAACTTGAAAGAGCAACCTTTTCACGGACAAAGTGATAGTCCAACTCAATATGACGTGTGTGGGCATGGAAAACTGGATTGGCAACCATATACGTGATGTTGAGATTGTCACAAAAGAGTTGGACTGGGAACTGAAGATGCACACCCAATTCATGAAGAATGGAGCAGAGCCGGCACAAGCATGAGAGAGGGCACGATATTCCGATTCTGTACTAGAGTGCAAGACTGTGGCTTGTTTCTTGGAACACCATGAGATGAGGTTAGTTCCAAGAGTAATCACATATCCAGTGGTTGACTGACGAGAATCAGGACACCCAGCTCAGTCGGCATCAGAGTAGGCGGAGAGGCAAGCTGCGGCATTTTAAGGAGTGAAGTGAGGCCAAGATAAATAGTGCCCTTAATGTACCTTAGTATCCGTTTAGCGGCAATAAGGTGAGAGGTGCGAGGGGCACTCATGAACTGAGCAACAGTGTTGACGACAAAAGATATGTCAGGGTGAGTAAGAGTGAGATACTGTAAACTGCCAACAAGCTCGCGATACTCAGTTGGGCACCATTAGAGACAAAGAGGAGAACCTTGGCAGCCACCAAACTATCCTTTATTAGTAATCCAACTTTTGCTCCTTCTCCCTTTTATTTAATTCATTGTGATGTATGGGTGTCCCTAGTCACTTCTGTCACTCGTTATCGCTATTATGACTTGTTTACAGATGACTTTTCCCGCTACTCCTGGATCTATCCTATGCACCGTAAAAATGAGGTCTTTTCTCACTTTCAAACCTTTATTGCCATGGTTAAAAATCAATTTCACACAACTGTGCAAATCCTTCAAAGTGACAATGGCACTGAATATGTCAATAATGCTTTCTTTGATCTTTGCAATCAACTAGGCATCCACCAACGTTTCTCATGTCCCCACACTCCCCAACAAAATGGCCTAGCTGAACGTAAACACCGACACATTGCCACCATAATCCGTACCCTCTTTACCACTTCTCACACTCCGCATAATCTCTGGGTCGAAGCTGCCCTCAATGTTGTCCATCTCATCAACCTCCTACCTACTCCTAATCTTCAATGGGACACCCCATACACTCGTCTCTTCTAACATCCTCCATCCTACTCTCATCTCTGAGTGTTTGGGTGTTCTTGTTTCCCTTACCTTGGATCATATACTGAAAATAAACTCACCAATCGCACCCTTGAATGTGTTTTCCTTAGATACAGTTCTCACCACAAAGGTTACCGTTGTTTACACCCCTTCACGGGTCGTGTTTACATGTCCCGTCATGTTTTATTTAATGAAATGCATTTTTCATTTGATCATTTACAGGTATCATCTTCTTTAGAGTATGTGGATATTGAATTCCACCCAATTCTGCCCTCCTCCGCACTTGGGCTCGAATCAATCACTCCTGCCACAGACCCAGACTCGCAAACTCACGACACCTCCCTGGTGTGCACCTTTCCAACTGCTGCAGTCACAAGCCATGACCCCGGCCACGCCTCAGCCCATCCATTGCTCCAAACTTATTCCCGACGCCCTCGCATACACCTCTCTCCACTTGTGCCTGCTCCTGTTCCCGTAGCTCCGAACCCCCAATTCCAGCAGCTCCGAACCCACCGGTTCCAGTAGCTTCGAACACACCTGTTCCAACAGCTATGAACCACCAAGTTCCAGCAACTCTTCAATCTCCCGCTCCTGCCCCTGTTCCTTGCATGCGCACCTGCCTTCAGGATGGCATTCAAAAGCCCAAGCTTCATACCGACGACACTATTAAATACCCCTTTCCCCATGCCTTATTAACTGCTGTTCATCATACTGAACCCACTTGTTTTTCACATGCTACTAAGCATCTTGAATAGCATGACGCCATGACTGAAGAGGTCAATGCCCTTCTCAAAAATCATACATGGTCTTTGGTTCCTTCCTCTCCTTCTCAGAACTTGGTTGGGTGCAAGTGGGTTTTTCGGATTAAGTGTCACTCTGTCAGCTCCATTGAAGGCTACAAAGCCTGTTTAGTTGCCAAGGGTTTTCATCAACGTTCAGGTGTAGACTATGCTGAAACCTTCAGTCATGTTGTCAAGCTTGTCACCATTTGCACTATTCTTAGTCTTGCAGTTTCTTGTGATTGATCCTTTCGTCAATTTGATGTCAAAAATGCATTTCTCCATGGGTTTCTTCAAGAAGATGTCTACATGGCTCAACCCCCTGGTTTCATTGATCCCACTCGTCCGTTCATGTTTGCAATCTCCATAAAGCACTCTATGACCTCAAACAAGTATCTCTCCCCTCTCAATCAACTCTTTTTCTCTTTGAGATTGGAAGAGAGAGATTATTTTTTGTGGCTAAAATTTCACCCACGTTATTTGTCGTGAAAAAAATATTACTTCCAAATATATAATTTAATAACTGAAATTAGATTGTATGACGGGAAATTAATTGGAGCAATTGTAAAATCAGAATGATTATGATTATAATGAATTAAAAGTAATATTACAACAAGAGAGATGAGAGAAATAACACCAAGAAGTATTAATTTTTCTGTAAAGAGAAGAAGAATTGTAAGGGTAGTTTGGTAAAGTCATGTTTATAGTTTAAACTGAGAAATATTAATTTTGTTTCCTTAAAATTTAGAAAGGATATCATATTTTAAAAAATTTGTGTCTGCGTCATCTTCCACTGTCTCTCTTGAGGTTGCAGAGAGAGAAGAGAGAAGACACAGAGAGAGAAAAAGAGACTTACCTCGACGACTTCGAATCCCTGAAAATAAAACTTCTTAGGGTTCCTGTCTGCTACTTCGCTCACCACTGTATGATTTTCCCTCTCAAGTTTTTCTCGACTGTTCGAATTCTCTTAATTTCTTTCATTTTGGTTCAAATCAATGTTTCTTGTTTGAATTTTTGTTTTTTTATTATTATAGAGAATGGTCCTTCTATCTCTGTTTGGTTAGTGAGAAAACGGGGGAATTATAAAGAAAATAACACAAATTTCGAAGTTTGGTTTTGGAAAGGAAAAGGGAGCTCAAACTTTTCACTTTCTTTTTGTATTTTTTGGTTAATTTTTTATTTAGTAATATATGTATTGGAAACAGGTGTGTTGCATGTAGAACAATTTGGGTACCCAGATGGAAAAGGTTTTGAAAATTTAGTCTGGTTTAGTGAAGTGGGACAATGAATTTTACATGCTTTGACATTTATAAATTTGATATTTTTTGTTCATACTGGTCTTTTCTTTCAGCAACCAACGGAAGCTGAACTTAGAATCCATTTGAAGTTGTGAATCATTAAAACTTGATTAAAGATGTAATTGCATGTTAAAGGTACCAAAATGAGTTGCACTTATATTTGTGAGATCCGGCGGTTGTTATTTTGTATTTACTTATTTATATATTAATTTGAGTTTTGCTCTTGGATTCTCTGTATTGGAGCATTTTGAGACAGTGGCAGCGAATTGAACTGTTTGTGTTTTTTAGATGATTGGACAACAAGTGTGGAATTTGTTGGTTTTTCATGGGGACTTACAGAATACTGTTGAGTAGATGATTCGTTGTAGATTTAGATGCTCGTTATATTGATTCTGGACCAGGTTGCTCGTTTATTTGGAAAATAATATCTCTGAAGTTTTGGATATGGAAAAGATTTAGGATTTGTTGGCATTGGGATCAAATAATATTTGCCTTCATTAAAGTGGATGAGTTAAAGATTTTCCCTAGTCATTAACATTGTAATTACCTGGCTACTCAAGAAATGAGTTAAAGAGAAATGTCGGATGATTAGAAAATACTAAACAGAAAAGATGTCCTTCATAACTTAAATGATTTAACAACTCCTAGTTTTTGCATTAATATGCTTGTCAACTTCTGTCAATTTGCATGCTTGAATTTGTGCGTCAGTGTCTTTATTTCTCAAGCTCATAATAGGACAGTTATGATATCCCCAAAGGAGGGGAGATTGCGGTACCCCTTAATGTCACATCAACTATGAGCTAGCAATATTTAGAGTGTTTAAGGAAGCAGTTATTCTTTATACACGGCGTTCCATCTTTCTTAAAGATGAGATTTCTTGTGAAAACCTCACTTCCACTAAATTTTGTTAAACTTTGATCCCATTTGTTGACATGGTTGATTGTTTTAGGGACTAGAATCATCATTTAGAGCTTAGACTTTAGGTTCTAGTCTCGTATTGGTTAAATTGCTCCCAAAATTTGATACTTAAAACCTAAAACCGAAGATCTAAAGGGTCATTCTATACCCTAAATAATCAACCATGTCAATAAAATGGGATCAAAATTGAAGGAAATTAAGTAGAAGTGAGGTTTTCTCAACGCATCCTGTCTTTAACAAAGATAGGCGTTGTGTATAGAGAATCTCTGTTTAAGAAAGGCCCTGGAAATTAAATGTCAGCTAGAGTTGGCACTTTTGAATGGGATCACCATAAATAGCATCAAAGTGGCCAAACCCAATTCCTACCAGTCAATTGGGGACATGGATACAGCAACTACTTCATGCTAATGAGGGAAAAGGTGTCAGTTCCCCCTATGCTATGAGGTAATGGATTTTTGACGTGAGAGCCAAGGTTCCTTGATTGGATAAGCTATGATTTCCTAAGATGGACATGCCAAGATAGTTGCAGTGATTGGAAGACAGGTGAGATGAACACAAATTCATGTGTCCCACAATGCCTTGTTAAGTTGAAGTGAAGTGCTATATGCAGGTCTATCATTTCCAAGGCCTAGGGACCTTTGAACCTGCAAGGGTTGGGTTAAGCCCAAAGCAGGCAACACCTAACTTTGTTCTGAATTGTTGCATGTGGGTTGGTAAACAGTTGGGTATCATGTTACAAAGGCCCATGCATTGCTATGTGTGTGATTTTATTCCTGATTCGGTTGCTAACGCCTAGAGTAAGGGGGGTGGGGATACCGAAAGAAGGGATAATTTTGATATTCCTGAAGGAGGGAGGATTGTGACTCCCCTGAATCTTACATTGGATATGCATGAGGGAGATCTAGAGTACTCAAGTAAGGCTTAGGGATCCATATGTGAATTTGGAGTTAACATTTCTGGGAGGAGCATTGGTCCTTACAGCATTTGATTGATGTATTTATGCCTAGCTTTGTCCTCAAGCAATTTGGTAACAAGTTTGTCATCCTTTTTATACTGTAGAAGGAATAGGAATAATATGATTAAATGTGGAACATCCATCATTACTATTTTGTTCCATTTGTTTTGCTGGATTAATTTGTGATTCACCTGTATATTTGATTTTTTTTTTTTTTTTTTTCATGCTAATGAGGGAAAAGGTGTCAGTTCCCCCTATGCTATGAGGTAATGGATTTTTGACGTGAGAGCCAAGGTTCCTTGATTGGATAAGCTATGATTTCCTAAGATGGACATGCCAAGATAGTTGCAGTGATTGGAAGACAGGTGAGATGAACACAAATTCATGTGTCCCACAATGCCTTGTTAAGTTGAAGTGAAGTGCTATATGCAGGTCTATCATTTCCAAGGCCTAGGGACCTTTGAACCTGCAAGGGTTGGGTTAAGCCCAAAGCAGGCAACACCTAACTTTGTTCTGAATTGTTGCATGTGGGTTGGTAAACAGTTGGGTATCATGTTACAAAGGCCCATGCATTGCTATGTGTGTGATTTTATTCCTGATTCGGTTGCTAACGCCTAGAGTAAGGGGGGTGGGGATACCGAAAGAAGGGATAATTTTGATATTCCTGAAGGAGGGAGGATTGTGACTCCCCTGAATCTTACATTGGATATGCATGAGGGAGATCTAGAGTACTCAAGTAAGGCTTAGGGATCCATATGTGAATTTGGAGTTAACATTTCTGGGAGGAGCATTGGTCCTTACAGCATTTGATTGATGTATTTATGCCTAGCTTTGTCCTCAAGCAATTTGGTAACAAGTTTGTCATCCTTTTTATACTGTAGAAGGAATAGGAATAATATGATTAAATGTGGAACATCCATCATTACTATTTTGTTCCATTTGTTTTGCTGGATTAATTTGTGATTCACCTGTATATTTGATTTTTTTTTTTTTTTTTGCTTTTTGTATTTATTTTGAGTTCTTATCTCCATACAATATTTCTATTAGTGAACTACTGGGTGATTCTTTGGTTCAAATAATATTTTTTGGATGCGCTAGCAGATTTACTTACCGTAGTGTTTTTCTGTCATTTGCTTCTATGCAATGACTGTTGATCAGTAGTTGGTTTTGGTTTCTTTCCTCATCTTCCTTACTTTTGTTTTATGTTAAAACTCATGGTTATATTTTTCCAGGAGAAAGTGGTGAATGATGCCAGCTAAATCTAAAGATGAAGATCCACATATAGAACACGGTACCCAGACTGTGCTGGAATCAGCTATCTACGCCCAACCTTGGTGGCGTGGAGTGGGGAACAGTTCATCGTCAGGTGAAAGTGCTACAGCATCATCTTTGGTGGATCATCGTGATAGTATGGTCATGAATGGAGCTATGCAGTCACAAGTTAATGCTAGGCTGGATGGTGGAGCCAACTTCAACAAAGAATTGCGGACTACAGTAGGATCACAGTCTGGTAGTTACTTTTACATTATCATTTCCCATGGGAAAATTGCATGTGAACTTCTTTTTCTGAATTGGAAATTTTCACACTTGCTACTATACGAAATTAACTATAAAGTCATCATTCTGAGAAACCTTTCTTTAAAAAAAGAAAAATTATATATGATTATTTACTAAGCCTTTGTCTTCTTTGTGAGATTGAAGGACAGAAAGCATTATCCAGGAATGTTATATCTTCTTTCATATATTAACTCAACTGCCCATATACTTTTTAATGCAAGTTTCCTTTTATTCAGACCAGAAAAATGGATGCAAAAACCAGCAAATCAAAAGCGTTTCGTCGTCGGTGGTTCCTACAATGGGTGAACACCTGGATCCAAATTCACAAATGGAACTTGTTGGTCACTCAATCGTAAGTACTTTCTCTTTCCCTCATGCATTCTACATGTATAAACCTTCAATACATGGAAACAATCACAGAAATGTGAACAGCAGGAATTTGTATCCATTACCATTAAAGACATGCAAATTTCTTGTGGAAAAAGTTCTGTTCAACTTATGGTTTTCCTTCGCTGTATGGGGTTATGCATAGAAGGTTTACAAGCCTCATTAAATTTTGCAGGTTTTGACATCATATCCATATTCGGATCCACAATATGGCGGGATGTTGACTCCTTATGGGGCACAAGCTATGGTATGCAATCTGCAGTAATATATATTGTTGCAGTAGTGTATGTTGTATCCAAGTCAGCAGGAAGTCTTCAATGAACTACGACAACTGCACTTTAGGTGATACTGTTCAGAAAACATGGAGGGAATGAGATACATTAATTATAATATCAATAGGGTTTATATATATCAAATCATAATAGGAAACTGAATAACCAAATCACTTAATAAAGTAGATCAAACCCTTGAAAATACAAGGAAACCAGATAATTCTCCCTAACTTAGAATCCTAATTACAGTTTACTCACGGTCTCCAAAACTTCTCCCCAAGTTAGAGGATAGAGGATTATTATTCTCAGCTTGTTACATTACTCGGAAATATGATTAAGAACTAAAAAACATAACTCTTCCTTTTCTTAATGAAGAGTTCTGTTTCTTATATAAAAAGAGAAACATAAAACAAATTAAAAGACATTAAGCCTCGACTTTCCTTGAATGTTCTCTACTCAACACTTCTCTTCAGACTCATAGGGAATAGATTTTCATGAAGTTTAAACCAAACCTTTTAAATTTTTTGATTCTGCTTAAGAAATATTAGTGTCCTCTTCAACAACTTGGTATCATGTGTCATTGGTGTACGTTTCATGTGACGCACTACCATGGGCCTTGACACTTTTCGGCTGCAAAACTGATCGTATATTAATACCGTGGGTAAACATATCAGTAACCAAACTTCAATACCAAATCCAACTAAAACACTAGGCTGAATTTGATAAATTCATTGAGTAACCAACATTCAATTATCAATAAGTAATCAATAATTTTTGTAACCATTTTGAGAAAAATTAATCATAACCTGAAACAGTTAGATAGTGTATACCTCTAACCAAAATAAAAAACTAAATTATAACCGAATCAATTAATTTAGGAAGTAGTTCACGAATGTAGACAAATTGGGAAACCAAATACTTAAAGTGATGTATTCAATTAAGATTTTAATGGATTGTTTTGAAGCTTAAAGGTACAATGATATTCAATTAGGATTTTTAAGTAATCAATTAAAGTATGGTGGTATTCAATTAGGATTTTTAAATAATCAATACAAGTATGGTGGTATTCAATTACGACTTTTAAAATTAAGAAAAAGTACTGTGGTATTCAAAAACTTACTGATTCTGAGATATTTTATTAAATGGTGTATTGTGTGAGACTTTTGAGTGTGTTATATAAATACCAAATCACATAACAAATCCCGCCCTCCTATGCGTGATTCTCATATGTGCTCTCATACTTCTTCTATTTTTCCCACTTTTTTTTCTTGCTTTAAACTGTACCCAAAAAAAGAAAAAGAAAAAACTTTTCATAAGAGAGGCGATAAAGAAACATTAACAAGAGAGAAGATATTGCCTTTTCTGGAGGTAATGGGCAAAATTATATTTTCGATACTTTTTCAGAATCTCCTGGTCTTTGGGGTTGAAAATATCAAAAGCACAGATGTTAAGAAGTCATCAGAATACATTTTGACTTGCTCTCATGCCACAATCATGATATTTCCTTATGTATAGTTTAATGATATATGTCTTCAGATGGTTATGTATTTATGTGAATGATGCTGGGTGATAGAGTTCAAGCTTGTATAGAAACATACAAGTATTTATTTCAGATGCATGACTATATTCCATATGTTTTCTGCTTATTTTTAACTGTTAATGTTGGCATTTAAAACAACATAGAAATTCATGATTTAGAGTTAGTAGCTTCAAATACGGAGTCACAGAGGTGGAGCCACAAAGTTAGTAGCTTCAATTTCTCTTATATATATGCAAAGAATTCTGGTTTGGTGCTAGTGGCGGAGCCACAGAGGCGCAAGGAGGTGTAATCCCTCACCGGAAAAGTCATTGTAGATGAAGGAATATGCCCTCTGCAGCTCTGCTGGTGTGCCCACAAGGTGCTCGATCTAATGCCTCAAAGAGGCTTTTTTTTGTTGCGCAGCTGCTGCGCGCACAGCGCACGTCGGCTAAATAATTTTTCTAATTCCCTTTCCCAGAACGTTTGGGACTAGGACCAACAAAAAAAAAAGAAAAAGAAAAGAGAAGCCTTACCCACAATGTAGAAGAATGCTGATAAGGTGCAAGGTATTTTTTCACTCCACAGTTTTGGGCCAAGCCTCGACAAAAACTAGGAGTAGTCATGGGGTTGGGTGAACGTGGCTAACTTGAATCCAATCCACACTTTGGGCAAATCTATTTTGGAGAATACGAAAAAGTATCAAAATCATAAGTAAAATCCTGTAATTACAATCTATTAAAATCATAAGTAAAATCTTATAATTAAAAATCCAGCATAAATCCATTACATTAAAATCATGTAATTACAATCTATTAAAATCTAAATTGAATACACCCCCTTAGATTGAACAACATACTTTTTATTCTCCAAAGATTGCCTTTATGCACATGCATACACATTTTACACATGCATACATCATAATTTGTCTCTCAGGACAGATTACAAATGTAATGAACTAGTATGTCTATGTGTTTGGCGATCAATGTTCCAGTCAAACAATATAAGCAAATTTTGTGCTTTGTAGTTTCTTGTATAAGCAATAGCGTGAAAATCTTTTATACTGCACTTTGAATATGAGAAAAGTTGTCTTTTATTATCTGATGGTTCTAAGCGTGATGCCAGCTGCCTCCCCACTTCTATGGCATTCATCATGGTAGAATGCCTTTGCCCCTTGAAATGGAAGAGGAGCCTGTTTATGTAAATGCCAAGCAGTACCATGGCATTTTGAGACGAAGACAGTCACGTGCTAAAACTGAGCTTGAAAAGAAACTTATAAAAGCTCGAAAGGTAAACTAATTTTTAATTTGTTCGTTCTGTGGACTCTAGTAGCATTTCCTAGAATTAGACATGAACACATTTGTGCGCACATGTACATATACACAAGACACAAGACACAAGATAATCTTAAAACTTAATGCTATTTTATTTTCTCTAGTTGAAAGTGAATCTAACATATTTTTGAGACATTATGATGGTCATGTTGCGTTAGGTACAAGCAACTAGCTAGGATGAAATATTGATATCAATGCATATGTTGGTGGTCTAGACTTATGGGAATTTTTGTTCACTATGTTTATAGGTAAAAATTGATCAAAATGTTGGTAATTCACCTCAAAACATTCCAAAATATAGAATTTCTGAATGTAACCAATTTAAAATGCTTCACAATTTCGCAAAAGAAAGTATTCTTGCCAAATATATGACATGTATCAATTGTTTGACAAAGTTTTACTATCTTGGAAGTTAGAAATATGGAAATATCTATGGAAACACTAATGTTGGTAAATGTTGGTGAGTAGCAGTCTTTTAAGACTCTTCACCAATGTGGATTTATCCATGTATATGGGTAATATCAGAGAAATATCGGCAGTATCCTGGAAGAAAATGTCTTTCGTTCATATCCAGAAAAAGAGATGAACTAAACATAGCTAGGGAATATGCTTGAATGGTGGGGAAAATAAAACAGACTTGCTAAGTTCTGGACAGGGATGTTGATGAGAAATATACCCTTAGAGGAATGGCTGAAACCAAGTATGAGGAATAAAGAATAAAATGACCCATGCATGCAAGCAGACACATACTTTATACATATGGACATGACTATGTACCTTTTCAAGGGGTGTTGAGCCTTTTGTATTCAGCTGAGTGAATGATAGTACTCACATGCGCATGCGCATGCGTGCACACACACACACACACACACACACACACACACACACACACACACTATATTGTGTATATGAATGATTAAATGACCATATAACTTTTCAAGGACAGCTAACATGTGCGCGCGCACACACACACGTATGTATGGCCATTTAACTTGTCAAGGTGTTTTAAGAACACTCACATTCTAGCGGTGTTAACACACACAGACAACTTTTCAAGGAGTGTTAACACACACATACAAACACACATGTATGTATGGCCATTTAACTTTTCGAGGGGTTTTAAGAAACATTCACATTCAAGGGGTGTTAACACACACAAATACACACACTTTACGTATATGAATGACCGTATAACTTTCCAAGAGGTGTTAAGCCGTATTCAGCTAACTGAATGATTGTCTGTAAACAGCGTAAGGGTTTGTTTGATATTTGATTTTGTATTCATTCTACAGCCGTATCTTCATGAGTCTCGGCACCTACATGCATTGAGGAGGGCAAGGGGTTGTGGAGGTCGTTTCCTTAATACAAAGAAACAAGATGATAATGACGAAAATTCCTCACTAGAAAAAAGCATGACTTTGGATGCAAATGATTCAGCCCAATCTGCCAAATCTAGTTTTGAGTGCTTTCCCAATACCAGCAATGGGAATTTTGATTCCTCAAATGTCCAGCAAGAAGGATCAGATCCATGGTTCAGGGCACACAAGAACCACACACTCTCTAGTGATAATGGCAATGGCCATGGCCCATCGTCAGCATACCCTTCAACGTTTGGTGACAGCAAGGAAAGTGTTTTCCTGGGTCAGCAGAGGGAAAACATGCAGTTGAATGGGTCGTCTCGTGGGGCCATCCCCAGTAAATGAGATTCCTCTATGAGGTCGGGGTACCCCTCTGGCAGTGGTTTCAGTTTATATGACAAACCATGATATTCGATCCGGTAAATTGTTTGTTTATTGTCTTCTATTAATAGAGGCTTGCTTATATACTGCAGGTGAAGCTGAAGGCATGTGCAGTCTCTCTTGGGGGGAAACCCTGCTGTGCAATGTCTATATCAGGCAAATCATTCTTGGCTTTGGTTACTTTTGTAATTATTGGGGTGTTGTGGAAGGAGATAGGTGTGAAGTCCATGTTGTCTTCAGTCAGCCATCACTTGCACTCACTTGTGTTGTAGAAACAGTTAAGAAAGCATCAGTTGGAAACTCAAGTAGAAATTAGATGTGAATGTGTAGATTTTAAACACTGCAGTTCTGTTTGAAAAGTGTGTTGTGACTTTCGTGTGAGACAAGAATCTGCCTCTTGTTTATTGTATACTATCCAATGTAGTGGTTGTGGTGACTTTGCAAAGGCTACTTCATCCATCGTGGAAGGGTATAATTTGACCTATATTTCTTCAGTTTATTTGAGAAGAAACTATATGATCTAGATTTCTATATCTATTTTATGTTTTGATTACTCTATTTATTTTCTGGTATCGGTCCATTCATTTTATAAGCACTAATGATGGTTTGATTGTTTGGTCCAATTGTGTTCCAAACAAGGTCTTGCGCGCGTACGGGAGCTACTATTTTTTTTTTCTTTCTCACATAAAGGCTTGAAACTGTCACATCCTCGTGTTCCTTTGGGGTTTTTATTTTTTTGGGTTCTTCGTTGTTCTGTTTGGCTGTGGATGTATCAACCTTTTTAATATATCGTCTCTCTTCAAAAGAAAAAAAGTAGAAAGAAAAAACAACATATGAAAATTTCCATTGAACAAAAATAAATAGAAAGTTGCAATGGAAAGTAGTTCAAGTGATTAAGAGTATTTGTTCTGCACTTGAGATTTTAGGTTTGATTTCTCCCTCAATAAATATTGCTGGTATAAAAAAATAAGGCTTTTTATCACAAATGGTCCTTGACGTTTACGAAATTATCACGAATGGTCCTTGAGGTTTTTTTGTGACACTAATAGTCCTTAACGTTTGGACTTTTTATCACAAATGGTCCTTGCCGTCAAAAATTATGTTATGTGTATGATGTGGAAGATAAGTGGAGCCCACATGTACAATCACATCGTGACATGTGGATTAAATAAATAAATAAATATTTTTTTATTATGAAAATCCATTAAAAAAACCATTTAGAGAGAGAGAGAGAGAGAGAGAGAGAGAGAGAGGCTAAATGGTTTTTTAATGGATTTTCATAAAAAAAAATTATTTATTTATTTATTTAATCCACATGTCACGATATGATTGTACATGTGGGCTTCACTTATCTTCCACATCATACACTTAACAGAATTTTTGGCAGCAAGGACCATTTGTGATAAAAAGTTCAAACGTTAAGGACTATTAGTGTCACAAAAAAACCTCAAGGACCATTCGTGATAATTTCATAAACGTCAAGGACCATTTGTGATAAAAAGTTCAAACGTTAAGGACTATTAGTGTCACAAAAAAACCTCAAGGACCATTCGTGATAATTTCATAAACGTCAAGGACCATTTGTGATAAAAAGCCAAAAAATAAATATAAAAAATGAGTATGAATGTTGTGAGCTGTTGGGTTCCAAGAAAGAAGTTTCAAAGCTCTCAACAAAGGCCCAACCCAAATCGGAAGATCTCCAACTCAATACTGGGCCACGGGCTATATATGACCGCAAGTCCCGACAAAGCAAAACCCTAAAACACCCACCATTCGCCTCCATCATCCATATCAACAGCGCTGCTCTCTCTCTCTCTCTCTCTCTCTCTCTCTGCTCGGCATATACTAAACAAAAATGTCCCAATGATGATAAATTTAGTAATCTGAGAAATTTGCATGAAATTGCAGTTAAAAGATTGGTGCTCCCTTGTGCAAAGCTCATTTTTAGTAATTTGCAGAGGTTGAGGAGCCATTCTTAATTGCTTTGCTTTCATGCTCTCCAGGTTGAAATCAGGCTTTTCTGAGGGATTTTCTTCTTTTTCCTCTCTCTCTCTCTCTCTCTCTCTCTCTCTCTCTCTCACCATTTGCCCTTCGATTCACTACAACCCAGAAAGAATTCGTTATTCATGCTTGCCATTTGGTTTTTTTTTTTTGGTCGAAAAATAAAGTTCTCCACCGTAACAAATTGTTCCGTAATATCAATGTGATCTCTATATGTTGTCGATATTGAAGGTAGTTGAAGTTCCACCCCAAAACTAATTGGCGATGGGGAAGTAGCCTAACTCCTTATAAATACAAACACTTTCAACTCGCCCCCGCACATGTGGCTAACTTTCAAGTCTAACACGTGGACAATACATATTGAGTGATGTGGGAGAATGAGTGGCTGTTGCGCCCAACACGTGAAGTCTTGCTCTAATACCATGAAGGAAGTTGAGGTTCCAACCCAAAACCAATTGGCAAAGGGGAGTAGCCCAACTCCTTATAAACACAAACACTCTCAACAATTGTCTCATTATTTAGATGCTTTTTATCACAAATGGTCCCTGAGGTTTTTCAAATTATCACGTTTGGTGCTTTATATTTTTTTTCTAACATTATTGATCCCTTATGTTACACCTCACACATCAATTTGGTCCAGTCTCAGTCAAAATTTTCCATTAGATTGTTGATGTGGACATCGCATGGATTAAATAATGTTTTAAATATTTTGGGTTTTTCACAAATGGTCCTCGAAGTTTGCGAAATTATCACATTTGGTCATTTATATTTTTTTGTCTAGCATTATTGGTCCTATATATATTTTTAAAATATTTAACATTTAAAATATTTTAGAAAAAATTTAATTAATAAAAAGAGCAAATTTTCAAAACATAATTTGTTTTTTTATTCAAATCCACTTGGCATGTTATTATTGGACATGCCATATACATGTCGTGTCATGTATGTGGAGCGTACATGTCCAATAATAACATGCCAAGTGGATTTGAATAAAAAAAAATTATGTTTTGAAAATTTTCTCTCTTTTTAAAATATTTTAAATGTTAAACTATTTTTTGAAGGGTTTAGGGGTTTTAAACAAAACCTAACGGATTTGATGCGGAATGTATGTGGAGCCTACATGTCCATTAATAAAATGCCAAGTGGATTGGAATTAAAAAAATGTATGTTTAGAAATTTCTCTCTTTTTAAAAAAAGATTTTAAATGTTAAACTAATATTTTTTTTTTTATAAAAACATTTCTTCATTTATATCTGCTTGTCATTTTCTCATTGGCTATGTGTGCACCACATATGTGTCATGTCAGCAATTTAACAAAAAAATTTAACAAAATCTCACGGTGGGATCAAATTGATGTGTGAGGTGTAACATAAAGCTCCAATAATGTCAGAAAAAAAATATAAAGGACCAAATGTGATAATTTCGCAAACCTCAGGGACCATTTGTGATAAAACCTAAAATATTTAAAACATTGTTTAATCCAAGTGGCATCCACGTCAGCAATCTAACGGAAAATTTTGACGGAACGTGACGACGGGACCAAATTGATGTGTGAGGTGTAACATAAGGGATCAATAATGTTAGAAAAAAAATATAAAGCACCAAACGTGATAATTTGAAAAACCTCAGGGACCATTTGTGATAAAAAGCATCTAAATAATGAGACAATTGTTGAGAGTGTTTGTGTTTATAAGGAGTTGGGCTACTCCCCTTTGCCAATTGGTTTTGGGTTGGAACCTCAACTTCCTTCATGGTATTAGAGCAAGACTTCACGTGTTGGGTGCAACGGCCACTCATTCTCCCACATCACTCAATATGTATTGTCCACGTGTTAGACTTGAAAGTTAGCCACACGTGCGGGGGCGTGTTGAAAGTGTTTGTATTTATAAGGAGTTAGTTTACTTCCCCATCGCCAATTAGTTTTGGGGTGGAACTTCAACTTCCTTCAATATCGACAACATATAGAGATCACATTGATATTACGGAACAATTTGTTACGGTGGAGAACTTTATTTTTCGACCAAAAAAAAAAAACCAAATGGCAAGCATGAATAACGAATTCTTTCTGGGTTGTAGTGAATCGAAGGGCAAACATTCCTTCCTCAAATCACAAAAACTGTGACCATGAACTATTTTTGGTCATTTCTACAATTTTCCTTTAGATTTGGAGCCTTATATATCTGCCGCATTTGTGCAATTCTGTGCAAACTTCTCTATCTCATTTGTGAGATTTAGCAGTGACAACAAATTCTGCTGCTGTTATCGACATTGAAAGCAACAAAACAAATCCCTTGCTATTAAGAAAGGTTTGCTCAATAAAAATGCCTTCAAAGTCGTGTAAGCGAAAACGGTAGGGGCACTATAAAACCCCATTGATGTGCGTTCTTTTTTGTGTCCAAGTAATTAAGCACAGTGGAATGCTTTGTATACATGTATTATTGGTGGAGATGTGAAGCACACCATCTACACAACAGGTTCAATTTACACAGCTCTGCCTTTCTCTTGCAGGTTCTTTCAATGATCGAGCAATTAGAGCTTTGCTTGTTCTTGCAATTGCTCCTGTTCAAGGAAACCGTAATTCGGATCAGAATTACTAACAAAAAAAAGAAGGCAGATTTAAGTCCAATTAAATGTAAAATGAAAATTACACTGCATCCCAAAGTTGTGTCAATCTGTGCATTGCATGATGCACATCAAATTAAAAATTAAAAGTGCATCTTAGGAACAATTGAAGTGGCACTGACCTCTGTGACGAAGAAGGCATGGAAACCATATGGAACTCTATGTGGCAATTCAACAACTGCGACCGGGTCAGATGACATTGTCTTTGCATCAATTACATGGATTGATGATTTTCTGCATGGTGAAAATTCAAGATTAGATTGCAGTCTGTCCTCAAGAAAATTCAACTTCAAAAGCAAGCTGCATAACCACTGGTAAACCCAGTTTACTCTACTTGTAAAGCATGAACACCATAGCTATAATAAAAGTGATGACATTAAGATCGACGATATATATTAAGCCGGAGTTAAACTGAGACTCACGCTTGTTTAGAGTATGGAATTTAAGATTCAATTTTTAAGAGAAAGCATTATGTGGTACTAAACAGTCCCTTTTAACGTGAGAGACTAAAATATTACCCAGTTTTCTCGTCATGTACAAAGAATATTAAGTAGCCATCATCTTCTTCAGAGGTAACTCCGGGAACACGAGGGACAAAAATAGCCTCAGAGCCAAATCTGCCAGGTCCCAGGTCATAGAGGCCTTGGACGTTTCCTCCAACCTCAATTTTTGTTTTTCCAAGCTCTGGTGCAGCATGCAGGTCAAACTTCACTACCCCTGTCACCTTTGCAATGCTGTCCAGTAAGGTTCCATACACATAACGCTGCTTCCTGCTTTCACACAAGTTAATTAGTGAAAAGAAGTGAAAATGAATATTACACTAGCTTTTCCAAAATGATGGCAATAGTACCACACACACACACACACACACACACACACATATGTATATATTTTTACTTTTCAATCCAGAAATCTCCCTGCGAGGACAGGAGATGCATACCTGCCAGTGTAGCTCTCATTCACCCTGGGAAAATCCACAGCTGATTCTGATAGTTTCTTCTGGGATGCTAGACCAGTTTTTAAATTGAATCTCATCTCGTACCTGAAAATAGTTAGAACAGTCAGAAGCACCATCATGTCTAATAGCAATTTACATTAGTAACACGGGTCAAAATCTCTTACAGCTCATTTTTGAAGTTTTCAAGCTTTTCTTTGACAGACCCATTGACCATGTCTAAATCTAGATTCTCAAGGCGGCATGTGATTAAAACAATTTCGTCCTCCTCCTCCCAAGCATTAGCTATGAAAAAAATGAAGTCACAAAAACAGTCAGAATGTAGACAGTAAAAAGCTTTAGGCATAGCTTAATCACCAACCATGAAAGATCACATGCATTTATTTATTGTTAAACGACATTAACTATACCATACCAAGTTACACAATTGAACAAAAATCCATAATGGTTAGTTGGTTTAGTTCTATGGGACTAGAACAGCTAGAGGATTTGATAACTTCATTAAAATAACTAGAGCAGGGGGACTAAAATAACTTCAGTAAGCCTTGAGAAGTTTGGAAGGTCTGAAATTCCAGCTAGAGGAATTGAAGGATAATCCGGAAACTAGAGCAGTACTACTCTAAGGAGCCCAAGAAGAAAAACTGAATTAAGAAATATGAATGAAACTAAAGAAGAATACTAAAACTCTTGATTGCCAAAGAAATTCCAGCACAATAAAAAAGACCAAAATACTCCTTTCAAGCTTCCAGCAATTCTGCAGCCTGAGGCAGACAGTCAGAACTAATATGAAAAGAGCAGGTTAAGCCTCAAGAAGCAAAGAGAGTAGACATAACCCTACGTAGAGCATATTGGTACGAATAGGTCCACCTAGCCAACTCCAAGTAGCCAGGATTGAATGTTTACAACATTTTTAGCAGAAGTGAGCATGTTCCTTAGATGAATCTTAGTAATGCCTCAAAAGCAGGATAGACCATAGGAATTGCAGCACTTATTTAACAGTGTCAGCTGCGTACCAGCTTCACCAATTTTAGTTAAAAGAATGCAGAGTTATTGGAAAACTTAATCAAAAAAACAATAGTTGTTTCAAAGACATTGATCCTTGCATTAAGATAGGAAGACAATATGCGCACCATTATGGAAAATGAAGCAATTTGGAAGCTCGAACCATCTGATTAGCAACTCATCCTTTGCATACCGTGGAAGTACACCAAAGCGAGCTTTTTTTGTTGGATCAAATGTGAATATCAGCTTCTTTTCCTTCACCATTTCCTGGAAACATGAATTTTTTTATAATAACATGTTAAGATTCATTTTATGTGACTGTTTGATGCTCAATAATTATTGTTAAGTTATCCATTGTTCCAGGAACTTAAGTCGATAGGAAATAGGCCTAACAATGTACATCACGCTAAAACAACATGCCCAATCTCCATGAGCCACTGCTGGTTTATATGTATAAAACCGAAGAAATTCCAAAAAAGGGTAAATTTTTTTAACATAATACCATTAATATGTTAAGTAATGTTGATCCTAAAATCTTTAATGTGACAAGCCCCACAATGCATAGAAAACCAAGATTTGGTCCCCCTCATTTCCAACTCCAACCTCTCACCCTTTGCCTATGACTAGTTTGAAGATTATTTGGTTGGTATGCATGCTCAAATTTATTGGTGATTAATCTTTACATAATGGATATAACTAGTTGAAATGAATAAAAAACACTAATTTTGAAACTTCCATACCTTTGGTCTGAAGTACAAGGGGAGATCCATGAAAATTGCATAGTTCTCAGTAATTGCAAAATCATGCATCATGATGGGGTCTGCTACTGTTATGGGTATAGGATCATGCATGAAACCCTCCTTGGAAATAACTCTATAAGTGATATATGGCGGAGTATGTGAATAGCCAAATGTAAACATCTCGCCTGCATTAGGTACATCATAAGTTGAGAGGAAAATTTCCTTATAAAGGCAGAATAAATTTCTTTCTATAAGAATGTGCTTACCAGTGAATGGGTCAACCTTTGGATGAGCAGTGAAGGAATGTGTCAGTCTCTTGTCATAATCCAGTAAGCCAACTGTTTGCAGATCTCCATCTTCCAGAACTTTGAGGACATCTACATAATGCAACATAAACAATTTCATTTCCACACTAGAAATAAACAAAAGTAAAATTATTATTTGAGCGCCCACAAAGATATAGGAGGCAACACAAAGGCTGTAATTTTTATGTTCTTTTCTTTTTCTGAACTGTGAAAAACATCAGTTACATCTTTATGGCATCAAAAGCAGTGGTGAAATCCGAAGAAAAATGAAGAAAAATTATTCCCCTAATCTTTTCATCCCATTAGATTATCGAATTGATTGAAATTGAAAAGTAGATGCAAGAACATGGATGAGTTCTTACAAGGCTTATCTGCCTCTGAAAGAGCTAGAAGCTTCCCATGGTGATATATGAGAGCTGTATTACCTGGAAAAGCGTAGGAAATAGTTAGTTAAAGATACTGCTTCTTAGGCAAGTAACAGGAGATACTTTCCTACTTCGCCAGGATTTCAAGGATACATTTGCAAGGGGTATACAAAATTCATAAATGTTTCAAATTGAACAGAAAACTATGCACACAGTTTCAACTGTGTCATTAAGTTTTCAACCAAGTTGTGGGGGATAAAAATATTAAGTACTCAAAACTTTGATGTCCATGCATGCTAAAGTATGGTGTATGGATCACAAGGATTAAATTCCTATTAAAATACCAGTGCAACAAAGGCATTACAGTCAATGAGTTGTGACAGTTCAGAATTGTACTGAAAAGAAGTTGTTATTGCGTTTCAAAAACATTGCGCGCAAGAACACCCTACCTGTCCCATTTCCATAAGACATATCTAATACTTTCAGTTTTGCTCTCAGGATTTGCATGTTAACCATGAGTAAGCCAAAAAGCCCCTTAAGGTCTCCAATCTGGAATGACACATTCAGGAACATAAGAATGGAATCTCCGAACTAAACATCTATGGCACACGCTTAATCTAAAATTGCAACTGTAACGGCTGAAGTGGTGTTACTGACATACCTTCATAAATTTAGCACCTCCAAAGTATTCTTCTTGCTTAAGACGGGATGTCCTAACATAGCGGGAGACATATGTTGCTTTTCCATCTTTGATGCGCATACCATGAACCATACTGCAAAATGTTAAATATATAAAGCAATGCTGGATCACATCTATCACTTTACTAATTCAGCCAGAGACATGGCTAATGAACAGAAACTATTTACTTTTGTTTCTATCCCACTTGTTAACATGAAAACTGAATTCGATAAGATAATCAGCCTACATATAAATTGTTCAAAAGATTCAAATTCAAATAAGGCTGTGAATAAAGAAGCAGGGGACTCACCCATCTCCATCAAACCTGCAAATGGAGCAACAAAAGGCATCAGCACAAAACCCACATGGCTAAGAATCACTGAAATTTATTTCCAAAAATTAAAAGAGACCCAGAAAAGAGAGAGGAAAAAAGACATACCAGTGATATCCAGCAACTGGGGCAAACTTTGGGTTGGGGCCCACCCTGACAAACTCTCCATTCAAGCACTCCTGTAATTCATACATGGCATGGCATTGGCAATTGAGAGGACATGGCAAAATTAAGCATCAGAGAGTTTGATCATAAAGAGAGAGAGAGAGAGAGAGAGAGAGAGAGAGAGAGAGACGTACAGGAAGAGAGCCTATAACAGGGAGGTTGTTGGTGGGAGGAGTTTCATCAAGAACAGGAGCGAAGTTGCCAGCCAGATAGTGGTGAGGCTGAGAAGAATCATACATCAACTTCACAATCAGATTCTCTATCAAGTCCACGAATTTTGAAGCAAATCCCTTGTTGGGTATTGGGTTGGGCACCACTATGCCACTGCTCTTGATCTGCTGCTTCTTCTCATCTTCAACCTCCGCCATTGTTGTTGGGTTTCAGAAGCAAATGAGTCAAGACCAAACTGCTGCTGGTGCCTGGCAGTGTGTGTGGTGGAAAATGTATAAAGTGGTGGGCATTTTATCTCTTCTTGTCTTGTTTCGATTGGAGGTTTTGTTGGTAATGCGACCGCCACGTTTAACGTTTTGTTGTGGAACTCAGAGACCTCATGATACTGAGAGGCTGAGATAACATAAATGAGATACTGTTTTTTCGAACTTTTAAAGATGCTGCCGTAACAGTACAATATAGCGGCTTGTATGCCACTTCATCAAGTATGCTGCCGTTACAGTACAATATAGCCGCTTGTATGCCACTTCATCAAGTCTTTACGTCATTTTTGTTGGGTTATATTAAAGTTTGAGTTTTGGTTTTAGGATTTTATATTAGAGAAACAAGTGAAGATTTTGAGACTGAGGTAAGTAGGTGCGTTTCGGTTTGGTTCGGTTTAGATCTCAAATCACCGTTGATTGGGAGACATTTTGAGAGAGATGATTTCAAATTCTTAGGGATTTAAGTTTTGGGTATTAAATGTTGAGTTTTTATATTTAAATCTGTACTTTTCTTTGTTCACTCTAATAGTTAAAGAGTTTTGTTAAACAAACCTTCAAATTAACTGAGTACACCCTACTACCAAACTATTTATTGAATTAATAATTTACTCTAATATAAAATGATCAAAAAAGATATATTGAATTGTGAAACAAATATAATTTTAATAAGTACACCTTATTTGCCACATATGATTTTCTAGAGGAGTGGTTGTGGTTGCAATTGAGGTGATATTTTGTTTGGTTCAGTTAATTTTGTGGTTTTTGTGCAGGTAAGACTTTGGCGTTTAAGGTATACAAGCTATGAGCTGAATGAAACACTTTGGCATTTGGTTTCTTTCACTTTGTGGTTGCTGGAGGAACTGACTATTGGTAGGATATATTTCTCTTTTTTCTTTCCAAAGGCTTTCGATTTTGTTTCTTTACTTTGTGTGATAGAATTAGGGTGTACTAAGGGTATTTTTGGTAGTTACATATAGGGTGTACTTAGTTAATTTTATATTTTGATTAAAATATTAGGGTATACTTAGATCATAGGGTGTACTCAATTAATTTTAGGGTTTGTTTAGCAGCACTCTAGTTAAATCATTAAGCTGCCAAGTTTTATTATTGTGTAAAAAGATTAAAAAAAGGTCATCCAACTTAATATTTAACCATAGTACATCTATACACACACCCCACCATTCTTCATATTAAGTTTTAGAAAAACACGAACTCCTCTACATCATATTGCCAGATTACTCTTTTCTTTTAAAGAGGTAAGAAGTTGAGGAGCCAATCAATAAAACTAGAAAAGTAGTCCTTAGGGTTTTACTCGTCTTACTGTACAAACAATCAATCATACAAAAAGCATGTCTGACTTTGACTGACTCTAGCTCTATGAGCATCAAAATAAAATTGAGAGGGGAACATGCATGCCTATTAAATTAATTATCAATGATCAGGTTAAATACATATTATTAATATTGTAATTTAATTAATTAAAACCAGCATCTCTCTATATAAACCATCGCCTGAGTAATTGGGAGATCATAATCATCCTTCTACATTTCCAGCTCTTGTTCACCTATGTTTTCATGATCATGCTTCACCACTTTTGTCTCTTTACCATCGTTTCATGACAATCAGTGACGGATCCAGAAAAAAAATTCCCTTTATTTCATTAGAAAATGTTAAATTGTGATGGCTAATTTAGAGAACTTGCACTTAATATGAACTCAATACCCAAAAAAATATATTATATTATATTATATTGACTAGTTATAGGTTAAAAGAGTTCTTGGGCTTGTTTGGTACACCGTATTAGACTTTGAATATGAGTAAATAGTCCATGTCGGGTGTTTGGTGTTGTTGGAGCTTTTTCGTTCCGGCAGCTACAGATGGGCCTGGACTGCTGTAAAGAGCAAGTGGGTGAAATTGCTCCTTGTGTCTGAGTTTAAGAATCAGACCCCAAGAGTGTTTCGAAAGGGTTGTGGAGCCTTAGGAAACACCTTGGTCTCCTTCACCAACGAAACCAACAGTTGCTTACAGATAAATATATGGCTTGGCTTGAGAAGCTTGTGGCATGAAAGCTAAGCATTCATGAGTTTAGCATCAAAGAGAGAGAGAGAGCTTGGATTTCCTATGAGAAACAGGGGTTCAAAGTAAGGGGAGAAGGAATTTCATGAGAATTTGTTGAGGGGAGAGAGTCAGAGATGAGGGAGGAGAAGTGGGTGGTTTGAGCAATTTTCCCGCAGCTTAACGAAAGCTTTGTCAGGCTTTGGAATGGCTTGCCATAAGAGAAAATGGGAAGAGATGATGGAATATGGCTCAAAATTGAAGGGTTCTAGGGATGAGAGGTGATGCTTGCTCTCTCTAGATGTGGGGTGAGATAATGGGTAGGAGAAACCCCCTTTTTATAGCCGCTGGAAGCTCCTCCTTCCCAAGAAACTCTAATGGGTTCTCTCCAATTTTGCCCATTCTTTCCCTCCCTTTCTCTTCTCTTCCTTTGATTCATCCCCATTTTGTGAAATCTTCCTTAGTCCAAGCGCTCAAAGACAAGATTTTTGGAGGATCTTCTCTTTTATAGGTGCTGGAAGCTCCTTCTTCCCAAGAAACCTTAGTTGGTTCTCTCCAATTTTGCCAAGTCTTCTCCTCCATTTCTCTTCTCTTCCTTCGATTCAACCTCTTTTTATGAAATCTCCCCCAATCCAAACACACAGTGACAAGATTTTTGGGAGCTCAAAAGTCTTCCCGTAACTGTTCCAGTGGTAATCTCCTATCTCTGGTTATCATATCTCCTTCTTTCCTCCCCTATTTCATGACAAGAGCTGGTAAGGGAAGGAAATAGATAACAACGTTGGTCTGAAGGATATTTTTTCTCCTAGCAACCTACGCACGCTAATACCCTTTGGTTTTTCGGGTGGTCTACCTTGGGTTTGTTTCTTGGCCATGTGCTGGAGACTCCCAGCAGCCTGCATACATGAGTAACCCTTCGGTTTTGTCATGGTTTTGTCTCCAGCCATGTGCTGGAGACTTTCAGATATTTTGTTGGTCATTTGGGCCTTTCCCTAAGGCAATGGGCTAGTTTACTAAAGAGATGGGCCAACCTTCTAGAGTGATTGTTAATACCACTTTGCAAAACCAAGGGAAGATGTCTTATAGTAGTGTAGCTCAGAAGTCCGAGTGTCGTTTCCACAGAGCGCGGTGTAAAGAAAATAACATAGATGAAAAAGAACAAGTGTGATTGAGAAGTAGATTTATGCAAGATTTGATTTAAAGAAAATTCAATTGATTAAAACACTAAGGCATTGGGGTTCCACTTTTAACACAAGCATGCAACTCTTATTAATTTGATCCACAAAACATTTTCCATTGTAGTTGTTCAAAATAATTAAAGCTCTTTTTAATTTCCTTTAGAAGTATTCTAAGCATAACTTGTACCATTGGCAACAAACTATCAAAAAATAAACTTCATCAAAATTCTATTAATCTTTAGTAATTCTCTTCTCTTTTAAAAGCATGAAAGTTTTTACTACACAATGGAAAAAACATGATTGAACCCATGAAATAAATTATCAAACATTCATCAATTAATTAAAAAAGAAAACTACAAATTCCATTTGAACAAAAACTACAAAATCACATTAAAGCTTTAAGTTTGAATCAAACTAATAAAAATTACACACTTATATTAAAAGATTTCTCCCTAGCCTTAGCTAGGGAGTTAGTTCCCCATAAAAACTAAATAGAAATTTAGAACTATAAAGATGGAGGAAAGAGAGAAAGCTCAAGAGTTGTGGAGCTTGATGTGTTGAATACTGCGGAGGACTTCTCTATTTATAGGAAAGTGGGAGTAGCTTTTTGTTTCATCAATTCCATTCATTGATTGAATATTTCTTCCACTTGCCGACAAGCCAATTGCCACTTTGCCAATTTTTGTCTATTTTACTCTAGTGCTGGCAGCATCTTCCTTTTCTTTTCTTCTTTTAGCATGGGTTGGCACAACTTGTTTTATCCATCATTGCATTTGCTGTAAGATCTCTCCTCCCATGATGTGTTCTCTGTGCGTAGTCCAAGTTGATTAAGCCCTTTCCAAGTGTGGTAAAACGCAGAAAAAGAGTTGACACAAAAAATGATGCCACAGCAGCCCAAAACAAATTCTCTGAACCATGTTTGGAGTGGGAAGGCCTGAGGTGTCAATATTGATCCAATGGGGCTCAAATTTGGATATGTTATAATAGACACCCATTGGATCAACTTTCATGAAGATTGTATTCTCATCTGAGCAGTATAAGAGCGCATTTTGGGGCTTGCAAGTTGACTGCCGAAAATGGACTGGAGTTGGGGCTTCAATTCTTCTCTCTCCTTGGGCTGCTGCACAAGAAAAAGCTACCAATTAGAGAATTCAATTGAATTAGCCTTTATTTCAATGAAGTGCAATTGGATTTGTAAAATGCAATGTAACATTCTAATTTGTGTAAAATTAATTAAACAAAGTACTAACAAATATAGATTAGGGGTAGAAATTGTAATAATTATGTGTTTATCAGTGATGGATTATTTTTTACTAAGGTGATTGGCCAATTTTCTAAGGTAATGGCCTATATTTTTCTCTCTTTCATGCTTACCCACGTATTTGGGCTCAGTAAGACGACCGTTGTCTTTTGTGTTTGACGTTTTAATGTGTAAACCACATTGGTTTTTAGACTTACCCAATGTGGTGTATCAATTAATACGTCATGAACGAGATAAAACCGTCATCCTATTGTCATACATGGTATGAGAGAACTGTTTAATAAGACGTCGGTGTTTTCTTGGTACCGTCGTGGTATTTTTTGTACGACTATGGTGTTGTTTTACAACCGTCGTCCTAAATTTAATATCACGGCCGTCTTTTTCCGACGTCTTTTATTTATTATTACGTCGATCTGTTTAATTAACCGTTGTTGTTTTTCTTGCAGATTAATTAAAAATGGTTTCGAAATCTCAAAGCAAGGAAGCTCAAGTGTCAAAGGCTCAAAGGGATGAAGCCATTAGTTTCAAAGGCTCAAATGGATGAAGGCAAATCAGTTCAAAGCAAACCCTCGAAGAGGATGAGATTTTTCTTCAACCTCCGAAAAAGACCCGAGCACAGCCACATTTGTTGAGGCGCCAAAATTGA